AAGGTTTCGCATTTCTATACACTTGTATGAGAATGTAAAATATGCTTAAAGTGAACAGAACCTATCAACAAAATCGATGATTCATTTGCCATATATGGCTTATAGGGCAGCTTTATTTTTTTCTTGCTAAGGTAATCTATTTGTCAAAATAATTAAGACTTTTTCAATGTTATTTATATCTGTGGTGATGACCTCATATTTAATATTTGAATTCCTTACTATAAGGGTATTCTTCTTCAAAGGGAAGTCACTGTCAGTGATAGCTCAGAGTTCTCTTTTAAAATACATAACTGCCCAACCCACATCAACAAAGCTACACTGTACAGTCATGACCAAAAATATTGGCACCCCTGCATTTCTGTCAGATAATGCACCACTTTGCCCAGAAAATTGTTGTAATTACAAATTTTTAGGTATTCTTGTGTATATTTCTTTAGTTTGTATTGGTATGACCACTCTTCTTTCACCAACTGCTCCAAGTCTCTCAGTTTGGAAGGGTTCCTTTTCCTAACTGTTGTTCTGAGATCTCTCTACAGCTGCTCTATGGGATTGAGATCTGGACTCATTGATAGCCAGCTCAGTACTCTCTAGCGCTTGGCCTTGAACAATTTCTGGTTGCTTCTTTGACGTGTGCTTTGGGTCATTGTTCTGCTGTAAGACCCATGACCTCAGACGGAGACAAAACTTTCTGACACTGGGCCCTACATTACACCCTAGTAGTCTTTGATAGTCTAAAGATTTCATAATGCCATGCACATGGTCAAGACATCCAGTGCCTGAAGCAGCAAAGCAACCCCAAAACATCAGTGAACTTCCACCATGTTTGACTGTAGGGACTGTATTCTTTTATTTAAAGGCCTCATTGCTTTTTCTAAAAAACAGTAGAATGATGGGCTTTACGAAAAAGCTGTAAATTTGTTTCGGCTGTCTACAGCACATTCCTCAAGTAGGTTTTGGCAAACTCCAACCTGGCTTTTTTATGTTTCTGTTTCAGCAGTGAGGACCTCCTGGGTCTCCTACCATAGCATCCCTTTTCATTCAGATGGCGACGTATAGTGCGAGCTGTACATTGTGCCTGAAGTTCAGCTTGAATTTGTCTGTAAGTTGATTGAGGTTCTTTATCCACCATTCAAACAGTCCTTCATTGCAGTCTTTGATCAGTTTTAATCTTTCCTCCGCATCTAGGGAGATTAGCTACAGTGCCATGGGCTGTAAACTTCTTGACAATGTTGCTCACAGTGGACACAGGAACATTTAGATCTCTGGAGATGGACTTGTAACCTTGAGATTGTCCATGCTTTTCCACAATTTTTGTTCTCAAATCCTCAGACAATTCTTTGCTGCTCTTTCACTTCGCCATGCTCCATGTGATACACAGAGACACACAACAGAAAGGTTGAGTCACCATTTTAACTGGTTGGTGGTGTGATTTCTATATTGTCAGTACCTGTTAATTGATACAGGTTAGTTTAATTACATATTACAAGAGCATCACAAACTTGAAATGCAATTATTTCTTACAATTTTGAGGTGTCAATTTTGTCCAGTCCATTTTTGGAGTTTTGCTTAGAATGTGTCAGATTTGGCTTTTTGTTTCTTCACTTTTTTGTGTTATAGCAATACAAACATAATAAATAAGCATGAGAATGCCTAAATAAATTTTCTGGGCAAAGTGGTGCATTATCTGACAGATTTGCAGGGGTGCCAATATTTTTGGCCCTGACTGTATGTTCCTTCTGCAACTTGTAACTTTGCTCACTGTGATTGGAAGTCATTCTTAGATGTGCCAAGCTGCAGTCTAGTAACTCTTTTCCTTGTATGCATTGCATTTTTTTTTTTTAGCAAAATAGTCTTTCATGGTTAGAAAAATACATTTAAAGTGGAAGAAAAGCTAAATCTAACTATTCTTAAAAATGTTCCCTCCCCCCCCCCTTCTATCTGTCCTGCCTGACCTGTATTAAAGTAATATTAATATTGTGCATTTTTAGAAAACTAACCATTAAAGCAGTATTAAACAATAAGTTTATCTTTGTCTACATGCTACATGTTCTACCCATTTTTAGGGTGGAACATGTAACCTATTACCACTGCCGCAGCCACCACCTGCTTCCCTCCCTCCCTGTGACAGCAGTACAAGGAAAAGTTCCCTGTACTAGCTGCCACTTTTTTAAAACATCACGGCCATGCGGAGCTCTACCTACATGGTCGAATCATTCATTCACAGAGTTCTGTGAATGAATTAACTACAAGTACTGACATTTTTTGCGGATGTTGGCTTGTAGTTTGGAGTCCTGCATGGCATTAATGATCTGCTGATCACTGTTGGAATGCTTTCCAGGCTAAAAAAAACCCCAGAAAATGCACAATGTTTTACCAGAAAAAAAATGGCAATTTATTTTTTGTTTTGTTTAAAGTGAACTTATCCTTTAAAGCGGTAATAAGTTTGGGTAAAAAAAATTTTCCCTGCAAGGTAAAGGCATAATGTGCTAAGAATTGGTAAACTACAACCAATATAATAAATTTTTGCTTTTGGGTTTAGAACCACTTTAATAGAGACTGCACCATTTCCTAGCTAATGCCAGCTACACTTCCCCACCAGTTTTTGCATGATTGTGATAATGCTGTATGAGCATTAGATAAATAATCAAATACATTTGTGAAGTAGTTTTTGGATAGAACATTTTATTGATTGTTTTCTGACAATGAGATAATTATTTTCAGCAGAATAGATTTGTATACTTTAAAGTTCTGGTCAGACAAACTTGAAGTACTGTTAATAAATGAAATTATGGGGAGTTTTCTAACACCTGGGGGCTAATTTAATGCGCAAAGAGCAATGACTTTACTAATAAAAAACAACTGTCATCAGTTCAGACATATTGGAACAATGAAAGAATTCTGATTTGTTATTATCAGTAACTTCATTTTGCACATTGTATGTTCTCTATGAGCCTCCCTAACTTGAGTGCAAATAAGTCATAATGGGGTAGGAAATTTGTGCATATTTTAGTTAACAGCATTGTAAATAGTGGCTTTTTATAATAATAAAATATCATATTTTTTTGCAGTAGGTATTTGTTTAACCGACCTGAAATGTACTTGATTTTGTGAACTTTCTTACTTGCTTATAAAATCTGTACCTCATATCTTTAATATTTTTACACATCTCTTTAGCACACCTTAATTGCCATTATGTTTGTTGAATCAGGTCCAATGACTATCACAAGTACCTTAAAGTGGAACTTAACCTAATAAATAATGATTTGTGAACAAGTTGGATTTTTTAGTAAAAAGAGACATACTATAAGGTGCATTTACTAAAGGCAATTAAACTGTTAACTTCACAAGTTATGTTGCACTTTGCATGGGAATTTTCCCCAGAGCTTAGTCAATGAGGTGAAGCTCTGCTGATTTCCATCATCCAATCACGTGCAAGCAAAAATATATATATATATTTTTTTTTTTTTTCCTTGCGCATGATAGGGCATTCTTTGCACAGTGAAATTTCACCATATTCAACTCTGGGAAAAATTTCCTTGGACTGCGCAACTTCCCTTGCAAAGGGAACAGCCTATTTGTCTTTGGTAAATCAACCGCTATGTCTCTTCTCCAACAAAGTATTCTTTTCTCTTTGTTCGCAATGTATACTGAGCTGTGGACATGCATGGGAGTGACATCATCCTAGCTAACCAATCAAATGGATGAAGATCAGAATCTGAAATGTGTATTTTATATCTGTCCGCAGTTCAGCTTACAAGATAAATGGGGCTGATTTACTAAAACTGGAGCGTACAAATCTAGTGCAGCTCTGCGTAGAACTCAATCAGCTTCCAGGTATTATTGTCAAAGCTGCTCCAGATTTTGCACTCTCCAGTTTTAGAAAATAAACTCCATACATTTCTTAATTAAATATATTACATAGAGGGTTGTATTGCCTATTTTAAATACGTGCTTTGCACAGTGTGGAAAAAAAAAAATACTGCATGCCTTTGGATTAATTGTGAGATTCTGTCAGTTATTTGTTAATAATTAAGGAACAGATGAACAGAACAAAACAATCCATATAACCATAAATATTCACATTTATTGTCCTCTCACCTTCACACGACTCCATCTGAGAGTGGGCCTGAGACATCTGGGCTTACAATTTTTTTTTTTTTGTTTTTGTGCTGAAAAATTGAACAGTTTTTGAACCATAACAAGAACACATTAGGTTTAATTTGTGCTTTGCCATTGCATGTTGGCTCACCGAAGGTTCAAAAAAACATCACCTTTCAAAATCCCACTCTTTTTACCACTTTCAATGACCTATGGATGCATGAATGGATTTGCACTTTAAAAAATGCATTTCTGTTATGTGCATGGAAAGCTAAACTGCTAATTCTAACTTTATGTAAATACAATGCAATAATCATTAAAATGTATATATACACTTTGGCCTTCATACAATGAAACATAGATGTTTCCAAATGAATGTGGGACACAAAACGTATTTAGGCTTCATTCCCACATTTCACCTTCGCTTTATATATTTTATTACTGTTCAGTACAGCAGCAATACAAGTCCCAGAAAAGAACATTTGACAAAGCACTTAACAATTACAATGACTGACATCTGATACCCAATAGGTGTTCCTTCTTTATGACATCCAAGACATCATCATTACATAACAAGAGCCAGGCAATACAAGGTGCATGTTTAAATGTTATTGTCGGTATTCATTTAAAATTGGTAACATAGGTACAGAATATGTAGACAATGTAGACAAATAATCAAATTAAACAAAATATTTATTTGATTAATCCCTTAAGAGACATTATTCACTGCCATTTGATTGATTGTCTCTAACATATTTGACCAACAAAGTGTACATATACATTTTATCTGCCACTTTGATACATTTTCAGAAGGTCATCATTGCCTTTGGGTAAAAGACTGAGGTACAGGGGAGGGGTGGAGCTTGGGAATAGTTATGGGAAGCAGGGGAAGGTGATTTTCTTTACAGATCACTCTCTCCGTAGAGAGCACTGGAGAAGGAGATATAATCCAGAGCTCCTGTGATACCATCTGCACCTATGTATTTTGTCATACGGCTGATGCAGTATTCTGCTTGTTCTGGAGGCAGTTCTCTGCGCAGCTCTTCAATGGTGATGTAGTTCTGCAATGCAAAGACATGGTCAGAAATGCAGTTCATTCTTTTCAATACATACACACTATGATTTTCTTAATATTTATCTGAAAGTAATTTTCAATTTGATTATTAATTTTTTTTAATCAACTTTTATTTATACATTTTATTTTTCAACTATACAAAGTAAAATAAATTCTCAGGTCCTCACTGCATTCACCCATCTTCCTTCCAAACCCCCAAAACATAAATCATAATTTAAAATGAAGACATCAACACAGGTTTGAATTGTCAACAGGCAATAGCCTATTGTTATTTAGCTAACAATCTATATAAGTAGTACTGTAGTGTTGACTAATCCAGTGGTATGCTTAATTTTTTTAAGTAAACTACATTCACACTTGAGCATAGCATATTCAGGTGACTATTTGTGTGTTTTAGGAACAATGTACAGGAGCTCCTTTGGAGCAGGATCATGCATTTTTGTTCCCGTAGACATTTATTAAATAGACACGTTTACATGGTTTTTACAGGCACTCGCATTGAAGTCTATAAGACCAAAAATATCTAAATCTGCTTGAAAAAATGTTGAGTTACAAAATGCTCAGGTGTGAATAGGGCTTAAGAGCTCCAATGCTATTTGAATTTGTCAAAGATACCAATGAAGACAAATACATTTCCTAACTGATGGAAAGTGTGAATTACATCCAAACTTCCATATCTAATATGAAAAAGCATCATTACATAAATATACTTATTTATTCTGTGGACCAGTAGCCAAGACTGAACTGGAAAGGTAACCAGCCACACCCACTATAAAATTTACCCCCCAAGGTTATTGGCCTAGGGCCATTAAAGTGACCTCAGACATGAAATATGAATAAAGCATATCCCTCTATGGTTTGCACTTGTCTCAATTAAGAGCATTAAGTGTCCCTTCCCTCCAATCAGCTCTCAGAGCCCGCTGCTTGTAACTTTAGCTCTCTGCCTGCTCTACGCTATAAATTCAGCACTTTCGACAGATGTAGAGAAGAGAAGACTGCAGACAGACAAGTACAACTTATGTTGGACACTGTGTTTAATCTCTGTGTATCACCTAAGGCCAGTCTCTTCAAAAGATACATGGAAGGGCTTACAACCACTTTAAGCTCAATCCTGGTAACACTTGGTACAGCTATCCTGGCGACAGGCACTGGAAAACTGCACAATTCCCACCTTGTCAGTCAACTGCTGGGTCTCCACAATAGCTTTCATTTGGCAGAAAATCCTCTACTTAGGGGCTATATTACATATTTTGCTTGTAAATATTCCAATTCCACATTTGGACAATTTTCAATGTTCTACTGACTTGTTTCTTGTTTAAACCCTCAGTGTTGATCAATAGGTCTCCATGGAAGTCCAAGAACAGACAGAATTGTATTACAATGACCCACCCAGCCACCTTCATGTAAATGATGCATCTACTCAAAAGTCAAGTCACTGACACTTTACCTGGGGGCACCAAAGCTTGCTTATACAGCAACAAATGCTCACTGTTCACCACAGAGCCAGTGCTTTCAACAGTTCAGATACTGGCCTTCTATCATATACAAATTTCAGCCTACACACTTCCCAGCTTCCACACCCAAAACACACCTAGGCCTTGACCCCCCAAAGCCTCTTGCACTAATCTCCATTTAGATTAGATACCTGCATGCCAGAAAAGCAGCCCCATCATGCTGCTAGTCATAAATATCTGCAAAGGAGATGTCACCTTTTATATTACTTGAATATTTAACCAACCCCTACAAGCCATACATATTTACATCAAGAATTTTCTACTGACCTTGTCTGATGCCAAAATCTTAAATGAAGCCATGACTTGCTCAGCAGTGTCAGTTTCAGCTGTCTCACGAGTCATGAAGTCAATGAAGGCCTGGAAGGTTACAACTCCTGTGTTGTTAGGATCCACCAAAGTCATGATGCGGGCAAACTCAACTTCACCCTACAAAATTAGCAAAAAAGTTGATATCAACAATGCAGTATTTATTTTTAAAAAATGAAGAAACTGCTTCAAATAAGAAAAAAAAAGACAATGTGAGGCAAACTCCAAAGACATGCTGGTAGGTTAATTGGATCCTGTCTAAATTGGTACTAGTATGTGTATGTATGAATGTAAGTTAGGGACCTTAGATTGTATGCCCCTTGAGGGTCAGGGATTGATGTGAATGTACAATATATATATATATGTAAAGCGCTGTGTAAATTAAAGGCGCTGTATAAGTACCTGTAATAAATAAATACATAATAAATGTGAGAATTTTCTCTCAGCAAGTACTGCCTAGGGGCAGCCTCAGACAAATTTCTTCACCTGTCTATTGTGCTTCAGCTACTCAATGCTATTACAGAAAATTGGCAAAAAAGAATAATCTGCACAACTGCAGTACTACCTTTGCATATTAAAAAAAACAACATAGTCTCTAGTTTCATGGATCATTAGTAAAACAAAAAAAATTGCAAATCAATTAACAGAACTGGAGGTAGATCCACTATATTCTAATCTGCAGCATGCACTAACTCCAATAACCATTCTCAAAAGTGTGACAGTCTTACCAGATCATAGCCCATAGAAATAAGGCAAGCACGGAAGTCATCAGGATCCATCATGCCATTCCTCTTCTGTAATCAAATGGAAAATAATGATGTTACTAACAATGACCAAGATAAAACACAAGAAGCCTTTTGTTCAAGATGTGTGCATTGAGAATGACAATTTACTGTATGTCTTTTTTTTGTTGGGATCATCAGGTAACATCTGAATTTTTCACACAGGTTTTGCTTACCCTGTCAAAGTGGTTGAATGATGCACGGAACTCATTCATCTGTTCTTGGCTAATGCCTTTAGCATCACGGGTCAGGATCTGGTTCTCAACTTCATTGATGGTCCTAGCAATTGTAGTGAGGAGTTGCTCCCATCCAACACGGATGTGCTTTAAGAAAGGTAAATGGTGGAGTTAAATGCAGTTCACATTACAATTATGTGGTTGACTACAAACTAATGTCAATAATTTTCTTAAAATAAAAAAAAAAAGTACACAAAACCATTATTGCATTAAAACACATTAGTGATGACAGTAAATGGAAAGAGGGTATGTGATAGATTATTATATCAAGAAATTTGTTAGACCTCTATGGAGGTGAAATGTGGTAGAAAAGGAGTTCTAGATTTGAAACCTTTACGTCCAATTTATGAGCATCAACTGTAGGCCAGCCTTTCTCAACCATTTTGGTTGTGAGGGTCCCTTGGGAACCCCTTCAATATTTTTTGGTCTATAGCTCACAAGACTTTAACATGATCAGGGAGTTGGGGATAGAATAAGAGCATGAATAATTTTACAATAACACAAAAAGTGCATCATGCTAAATTGAAACACTATCGATGGTGGTCAACAAGGTCAACAACAATTTTTTTTACTTTAACAACAGTGTCATTGAAACCTAATTGAGAGACCCTGCTACTACTGTCACGGACTACTGTCAGTGATATTTTTTTTTTCCCATACTGCTCTTTCTCCTGTCATTGCTGTTTCATCTCTCTTTCTTACTGTGCTGGCAACCTGAAATTTCTCCAATCTGTAGGAAAAACTTTTGTTAGGAAAACTTCTCCCCTGTTCTGCTCCCTCTCCTTCATCATTACTCCTTGCCTTGCATTGTTACCAGTAGGAGGTTTATGTGTGGGGTGAATTCCTGTCAACACAATTAAAAAGCACAGCCTATTTCTCCTCCCTCCCCTACATTCCTAATACTCGCTCTCTCTACTGAAGTGCAGGAAGGATAATAAGGCTAGGTAGATACGAATCTGCTGCAATGGTGGAGGTGGCGGAACCCCAGAGACCTCTCACAAAACCCTAGGGCTGCATGGACCCACAAGTGAGAAAACCTGATCTAGGCAGTATGGCAGGTCCTGAAAACAAGTGAAATCCATCCAAAACTTTTCTGTCTTGAAGAAAGTAAATAAAGCGATTGCCCTTTACCTCCATACTGTAACTTGTGTGTTTGTTATCAAAGATAAGAGACTCTTGGATGAGTTGATGGTCTCCCTCCAGTTTATCAATGTTGGACTTATAGTTGATGATATTCTGCTCATATTGCTTAAGATGATTCATCTGGTCTTCCAAGGAACTGCTAATGTCTATAGATATGCGACCAATCTCCTAAACAGGAATAAAAATAAAATGCCCATAAATATTTATCCTATAATTTAAGAGATATTTATAAAACAATGATAGAAAAATTCTAAATATTGTTGAGTTCATTTTTAATCTATGATGACTGGTTTAGAACTAACTTATCTGAAGAATAGCAACTTTTATCTTACCTCCATCTTGGTCTGGATCCAGGGTCCAATAACATTAGCTTGTGCTGCAAATTGGCGACGCAAGCGTTCATTAGCTTGTTGACGGGCAAGCTCCTCCTGTAGGGTTTGGTCTCTGTGGGGTACCAGTTGTTTTGCCTGTTGAAATCAAATAAGAAATACTGAGTGGCAAAATCCTCTATTATAAATCAAGTTGGTTCTTAAAACGGAACTTCACCCTAAGAGGCAAACTACACTTTTTTTCTGGTGGGAGGAGCACGTACCTATTTATGTATTTATGGCAGGTTCCCCCTCCCATTTTCACTGGGATCTTCTAGGCAATTCCAGAGGAAGTTGTCCCCACTCACAACCTCCTGGACATGTCCCAGGAGGCTGTGGGTTCATTCAAAAAGTGCAGTGTCCATTCACAAAGTGCAGTGAAACTCTCGCATGCACAGTGGAAAGTTGGTTGTGATGAAGCAGGGAGTCACAGCTGGCTTACCAGATCCAAGATGCTGGTGCCAGGGACTTGAAGAACTGGCTCAGATGAGGACAGCACACAATCCCTGGACAGGTGAGTGTCCCTTTATTAAAAGTCAGCAGCTACAGTATTTGTAGCTGCTGACTTTAAATTTTTTTGTTACCTGACTAAAGATTTCCTTTAAAGAGCAATTTAGGGAAACAGGTGAAACCAGTGAACTCCTGTTATCCAGCAAGTGCAGAAACTATACTTTACTCCAAAGTTCACATGTTGTCTTTAATCAGAATTTGGTGTAACCTGCTGTGGCAGGAATCTAGAGAACACCATATAGGGTCACTGGGAGAGTACATTTTGAGTAACCTTTTCCTCTCTGCTTTCTGTATCACAAATCTCACTCAACTATCCAAGGAAAGGATTATTCTGACAGGTGTGTGTAAGGAACTTACTAGTAGGAAGAATTTACTTTTTGACAAACAGCAAACGGCCTGCTGTTTGGTGAGATTGGGTACAGCTCTGCTGTACCACCATAAGTGGTTCTTAGATCACCAAATTTCTGTCTGAAAGGACTGGTATGGATTGATGCACTACAGCAATGCTTGGATAAATACAATTTTAAGTGTATTTGAACTTTTTCAGTCAATAAGTTATGTTATGTGAATTGGCACATATAATATAATGTAACATAATGTAGATATTATCCCAATTTGCCTGCAAAAGTGGAAATACAAGTATCAAATAGGTAGACTTTGCTCACTCCCTGATTTTCCATGTTTAATGTTTAATTTTGACAGTGCACCTTTAAAAAAGACACATCTACAAACATAAGCCTTTCACAATCATCTGTGTTTGAATCACATAACTGTATATGGTGTTTCTAGTACATATAACCTCTATTCTGGGTATATACAGATTGTTAGAATGTAGCTTATACTGTTTAACTCATGCTAATAGAGATATTATTGTTATACCATGGCAAATCAATAATTTTATTCAATATTATGCTAATCAATAGAACCACAATTTCCTTATTTACTCACTGTCTCCCACTTATTGGCAACATCAAGGTGCGTAAGGTTGGTGTATGGGTTAATTCCAGAAAGTTTAATTCCATAAGTCTGGGCAATTTTCTGAATCTCAGCCTGGATGCCCAGAATTGACATCTTCTCTTTGTCAGCCTCTGGAAGTGTGGCCTTGAACTGTTCATGTGCTGTGATCAGGCTCTGTGATAAAAATACAGATACAAGTGTTTTAATTAAATACAACTCTCATTAAAAATGCATTAGAAATACTGTATATATTAGATATTGTATATAATTCTTGTCTTCCTATTAAGGAGTGGGTCTGCAACAAAACACTAGAATTATTTAAGTATTTTGTGGTTGCTTTGTAGGGGTAAACTAATGAGATCTAACCTTAATGTACTCTCTAGAATTACATTTTGGATGATTAGCCATTTTTTAACTGTGCCACCTAGCCTTGCAGAGTCTCTCTAAAGATTTATCACTGCATATTTTCACTATATATAAAGAATTATAATTAAATATGCATTAATGAATGATGTCAACTATTAGCAGAATCCTCATTTTGGTAATAATTCCAAAATTTCATCATGTGTGAATTACTATACATGTCTGTAAGGACTGTACAAAAATGACATTTGAGCTGTTATTTGCAATTATGTGATGTCTTTCCACTTGCTAACCAGAGTTCCAAGGATCACTGTATTCCATCCTATTTTTGAACAAATAATTGTACTCTTTCATAGTTTTTTCAGGATAGTTAAATTATTTCACGGAGTGTATACCATATTGCATCCATTGCAATAGTCACTGTATTTGTATACATACTGGTGTGATATTTACCTGGATCTCTTCAATGCTGTGCACAATAAACATGTCCTGCAGATCTTCTATTGCTCCATCCATCCAGTTATTGAATGGAGCAGCTCTTTTAGCAAACTCCAAGTACAGCTGGTCAATGGTTTCCAGCAGCTTCTCCACACGCTATGAAATAACAAACACATACTAATTTATTACTTTTTTCCAAACTTTGTATCTGAATAAGCACACATGATAATGAAAATGTGCTTTTTACTATGGAATTTAGATTTTTTTTTTTTTTTTTACCTCTAGAGCATCTCTTCTCTTTTGTGTGAGGGTACCCAGAGTGTCCCACTGGTCACAGATTGCCTGACAACGGCTATTAACAGTAGCGGCATCATGGTAGTCGAGTTCACTGTAGAGAAAATTTTTACATTTTAGTGAGTGACTCTATGTAGAATTAAGGGTAAAAGCACAAATGACATACAGTATATTCTGCCATCTATCACCAAAATAAACATAGCCATTTTTCAGAGCCCCATCTCTAACATAGTTTCATTCATTATGTTGATGCAAGCAGTAGATCACTGCACAGAGCAGGTAAGTATAAACCTGTTTTGTTTTGTTTTAATTACCTTTAGAACCACTTTAAATATGCAAGAACGTAAAGTCAAAGTGCAGCTAAGAAGTTTAAACTACATACAGCGTTTTTTACATTTCTATTTTGGGGAAAAACGTATAAATATGGTGAAAAATCAAGGGGAATTAACATTGCTATACACTGATTAGGGTATCTTGGGAAAATCTATGGGCGGAAAAGGTGATAATCTTGCTAAACTTTGGTTATTAGGGATATAACATATGGTCCTGCTATATTGGGGTTCATTTACCAAACACACATAGACTGTTCACCTTGCAAGGGAAGTTGCACTGTGTAAGGGAATTTTTCCCAGAGCTTAATGAATGAGGTGAAGTTTACTTGATGCCCATCATTCAATCGTGTACAAGCAAAAATGCTGTTTTTTACATTTTCCTTGTACACGATCGGGTATTCTTTGCAAAGTAAAATTTCAGCACATTCACTAGATTCTGGGTAAAAGTCCCACCTGATCCACCAGGAGGCAATTGGTATTCCCTGTGTCACCTACCTCTAGTGTTATTACCTATAAATGTTAGTATCCAGTTATATTTTGTGCATTTAGTACTGCATCCAGCTCTTTTTTAAAACAGTCCACTGAGATGGCCAGAACTAGTTCTTGAGGGTGTGTATTCAACATTTTCACAGCTCTTACTGTGAAGAAGCTTTGAGTATGTGAAGGTAAAATCTCTTTTCCTCCAGACATAAAGAATGCCCCCTTGTCCTATTTAATGACCTGAAAATGAATAACTCTACACCAAGTTCACTATATGGACCACCTATGTATTTATATATGTTGATCATATTCCCCCTTAATCTCCTCTTCTCAAGAGAGAATACATTTAGTTCCTCTAATCTTTCCTCATAGCTGAGCGCCTCCATGCCTCTTATCAGCTTGGGTGCCCTTCTTTGCACTTTCCCCAGTATTCTGATATCCTTTTTGTGAATTGGTGCCCAAACCTGAACTGCATATTCCAGATGAGGTTTTACTATTGATTTGTACAGGGCAAAATTATGCCTCTCTTTCTCTGGAGTTCATGCCCCTTTTAATATAAGAAAGGATTTTATTATCTTTAGAAACTGAAGCTTAGCATTGCTGTTATTAAAGTATATGTAAAACCTCACCTTGTATAGCAACCCATTCAATTTAAAATAGTAATGAAAGGCAAAACATTTATGTATAGATATAAAAAAACATTATAAATACCTTTTTTCATTCTTTTATAAGTGATTACATACCCTCTGATCTCAGCTGCATAAGGAGCTCAGACCGGAGAAGCAGCAGCAAACTGATCTTCCCAATAAATGGCTGTGTGGGTGTGGGGGGGGGGATTATTGGAGGAGAGCAGGCTGAGTTCCAGCACAGCTAGAACCTGACCACGCTGTGCTGTCATGTCTAGTGTGATCAGTTTTTAAAAGGAAAGCAGAGGGACTAACAGGAATGCCAGGTATTTCACACAAAGGAAGACATACAAAGAGAACATGATACTTTTTCATACAAGTACATGGTATAGCAGTCACATCACATCAGTATTATGAAATTGTGGTTTACACATTCTTTAAAGCAGAGCTCCACACAAAAGGGGAAGTTCCGCTTTAAGGACTGCTCCCCATTAAATATTGGCACCTTTGGGGGGCGGAGGGGGAGCAGGTACCCAAATTTGACAGGTACTGGCTCCCAATTGCGGTCAGAACACCTAGGTGATCGGAAACGGGAGGTGTCCTCCCTCCTTCCCTCCCTGTAGTCTTCTGGGACACATGACAGGTCCCAGAAGACTATAGGACCATTCATGAAGCACAGCACTACTTGTGCATGCACAGGGGGTACCCGGCTGTGAAGCCGCAAGAAGTCACAGCTGGGTGCCCACACTGAAGATGCCGGCCTCCAGGAATCCAGGACGGCAGGTGAAACAGGCTGCGGGGGACACCCCACGGGACTGAGGGACAGGTAAGTGGCTGTTATTTAAAAGTCAGCAGCTACAGTTTTTGTAAATGCTGACTTATATTTTTTGACAGGATGAGTGGAACTCCGCTTTATGATCTACCAGAACACCCAGATTCTTCTCCACCATTTATTGCCCCACCTGTACTCCTCCTAGTAAGTATGATGCATATATGTTTTTAGCCCCAAAGTGCAAAACTATATATTTATCAACATTAAACCTCATTTGCCACATAATTGTCCAATTATTAGTGCACTGAGGTCAGCTTGTACGTTGGAGGCTTGTAAAGATGTATCACACACTCACTTCAGTTCTTGGGCAATAGCAGCAATCTGTTCTACACGGTCCTGGTGGGCAGCAAGGTCACTTTCAAATGCTTCGTGTTTGCGTACCAAGGCACGGATTTCCATTAGAGAAGCTGATTCATAATCTCTCTGGGACAGCAGTTCCTCCTTTCCTGTACAGTGCACAAGGCACAGAGATTAGTGGACAGAATCTACAGGTTTTTTTAACAATTTTCAGGCATGTTTTTCCTTTATTTTTAGCTTGTAACCCTTTGCATAACACACTTCCTGTTCTAGGATAGCTACACTCATTTCACTGCATCAGTGGAGGGGCCATTGTTATCACTAGGATAATCTCCTATTTTGACTACAATCAAATCTTCCTCTCTTAATTTCCACTTTATGCAGGGTAGGGGAATTAGTAGTTTACAGAAGATATCTTGGAATGAAGATATTATTTGTGATTTCAGTTCAAATACAGTGCATATCTGGTAGGATAAACAGGTATTTTTTGTATTTGCTGACAATGTTCTTATTCTGAAAAAGGAAAACTAATTAAATCTATCAAATCTAAGGATTGGTATGCTGCAATACTCTACATTTTGTTTTAGGATTTAGATATCCTTAGATAATTATCCAGATTTAAAGACTTGGTCTTCAATCTTCTCTATTGTCCATAAAAAAATAAAAGCATGAAAAGGAATTAAAGTGGGAATTAAATAGCCTTCTTTATGTCTTAGGTCTGGTTTCTTGCTACTTCAGGAAGCTGCAATGTTTCTTCTGAAGAGTAGTAAAACCTTTGTATCTGTTTTCTGTTATTAGAATATGTGAATGTTTTAATGTAGAATAAGTATATTTTTCTTCCTATGTTGGTTATGGTAAAGTTGAACATTGTAGTTGGATATAGCTTTATAATAACGGTTTAGTTAAATAGCTATTGTTAGATGAAAACTCTTCCCCTACCTCTGGTCCAGGACTCATGGAGAGAAGCCTTCTGCTTAAACTTCTCTGCCAGATGTTCCAGTCTTTCCAGTCTCCTTATTTCCAGTAAAAGCCACTCTTCATAACCCTTCTCTACTTGCTCCAGACCTTTCCAAGCATTGGCAATATCCTATGGCAAAACAATTTAGTGAGAACAAAAATTAAACAAACCAAATACATCATATTAAATACATTCCTTGTTTTCAGAGTCAGGGTGCTCAGAGTCCATGGACCAGAAACTACCTACTTTTATTTTTCTCCACGTTCTTACTACAAGCATTTTTTTTTTTTCGCTTAATACATCTTATATAAAAAATGAAGTACAAAGCAAATATTCTTAAAGCATGTTTAGTTTGAGGATTATCCTGGGGCATAGAAACTATAAAGTATGAAATGCAACCAGTAGCATGTATTTTGGCTATGGCTACAACAATAGTTAGGGATAACTAAGATTTATGCTTCCCAGGAATGTACTGCAGGACATTTTTGCTATCTTTTATATACATTGCTGCATGCAAATGAAGGTTTCAGTGATAAATACCTAAACATATGCTGATTTATGTGTTCTAGTAACAGCATACAAATCTTTTGGAGCTATTTCTTTGTTTTAAAAGCACATTGCATATGTTAATGAGCAATGAGATGAGAAGTCTCATAAGCCATGAAAAATTAATTGCTGGTCTATAGATAAGCGTAGAAATACCTCTCTTTGCTTCTCCTCAGAAACTCTTTATTTCTCCAATTGCTACCTGTCAGCTTCTCCTCTGTCTGAAGTCTGATTTGTGGACATTGCTCTTGTTGAGCTCAGGTAGAGCTCAGTTGCTACCACCACTTTTTTCAGTGAGCTCACAGGTCAGACACACTGTCTTCATTTATAATCATCAGTGTAGCAGATGAAGGCAGGAAGCTACTTACAGCACGTTCAAAATTGGATTGTGTTATTAAACAGAGCATGTTCAGCTCTGTATTGAAATATACAGTAGTTCACAAATAAGATATGGTGTCTGGCTTCCACTGGGAAACTGGGATGAGTGTTGACACACCCCATTCCCCTTGCATGCCTATGCGCTAATTATTTATTCATCTCTACAGAGCAACATGGTTGGATAGCTGTGGGGGACGATGTCAACCACACTAGCTCTGGTACCTACACAAATTGAACAAAGTGCTATATGTTTATTAAGGTCTAGGTTTATTAAGGTCTTCTCTATAGTCTCTAAGTTTAGCAATTTGAAGAAGGAAATGATGAGTATAGCATGTAGCTTTATTGCTGTTGTTAATACTTACGGACACCATCTTGCCCTCAGATGGCATGAATGCAGGGCGGTTGCTTAGCCTCAGTTTGGTTTGCAGAGTGTTGAAGTTTATCTCCAGCTGGCATTTCTCCTGAACACGGGGTGGCTTGTGTACCCTTCTGTAGTCCCTAAAGTCCTCCAGTTTTTTCTGCATGGCAGTCATATTTTTCTCGGGGGTTTTGTTTTCCAGCCAGGGAATAGTGCGGCGGATCCATTCCAGAAGCTGTGAAAATGTATGAGCAGTTTTTTCAGCACTATATAAGCAATATACAAGTCTGCATGAAATAATATTTTAGGTCATCACCCTGAAATTACTCATTGGCAATTTTGGCAAAACAAAGTACATATTGTTTGCACATTATTATTTAACTGGATCTCAGTATTAATTTCATATTAGGTACATTTAAGGTATCTATCCAAGTAAAGGATAGAGTAAATAGGGAAAATAAAGCCAGTTGCAGGATATATCACATTAGATTCATGCATGATTACATACTAACCTCACTTGCTAACTTCTCATATTCTTCCATCAACTTCTCATTCTCCTGGTTCACAGCAAGTACTTTGCAGATCCTGTTTGCTGCAGTCTCAGCCTGTATAAACAGTTTACATTTCAATGGAGCTTTGCACTATACTTCACAACCAATGGCAACAAAAAAGCATACAAGTACAAAGAAAATGTGCGCTGACCTTTGACATGTTTGCATTCTTTTCTTAAAGTGGAGTTCCACCCAAAAGGGGAAGTTCTGCTTTAAAGATTGGTCCCCTGCTCCCCATTAAGGATTGGCACCTTTGGGGAGCAGGGGGAGGGAATGGGTACCCGAATTTGACAAGTACCCGCTCCCATTTCTGCTGCAATCCCCTAGGCAATCAGAAATGAAAGTTGTCCTCCTACCCTCCCTCCCCGAAGTCTTGTGGGACACATGACAGGTTCCAGAAGACGACGGGGGGCCATTCAGGAAGCGCATCGCTACTCACACATGCACAGTGGGCACCCAGCTGTGAAGCCACAAGCTGTCACAGCCTGGTGCCCCCATTGAAGATGCCGGCGTCTGGAATACAGAACAGCCGGTGAAACGGCTGTGGCTGGGGGGCAACACAGGATCATGGGACAGGTGAGTGGCTGTTTTTTAAAAGTCAGCAACTACAGTTTTTGTAGCTGCTTACTTTTATTTTTTTTAGAGTGAGTGGAGCTCCGCTTTAATATTGCCTACTTATGGTTTTATTTTTGAGTCAGTCAGTGTTTCAAAATAGCAAGCGATTTCTCTAATTGTGTGCCCTTCAAAATAAATTTTCATTTAATATTTGAACTGTAAGTTGTCCATCTTCTTCTTGGAAATCAGTCATTTATTGACAAGCTATGCTGCTTACCAATGCCTTCTGTACACAAATAAAATTATAATAAATATGTTTCAAGATGCAGCATCTATTTGCTTATATATAATTTGTACTGCAAATTGTATGTGTTAATATCTGATTGGGCACAAAGCATATTTTTCAGTGTTGAGTGGAAATGTAAGTTTTTATGGGGTAAGAATTGTTGTGAATGGCTCAGTGATCTGTGTGTGAGCTGCAGAATATAGCACCCTAATATAATGTGTTTATTTTTTTATGACAATAACTAATTAATCTCATGGAGATATGTTAATGATAGTTACACAGTTAGTATGGCTGAAAAAAGACAAAAATCCATCCAGTTCAATCATTAAAAAAAAAAGTTATAATCCTATACCCACAGTTGATCCAGAGGAAGGCAATAAAAACCAGCAAAGCATGATCCAATTTGCTCCTGCAGGGAGAGGCAAACGGATATTCCCTGGATCAACTTTACCTACAAATGTTAGTATCCAGTTATATTCTGTGTATCTAAGAAAGAATCCAGGCCTTTTTTAAAGCAATCCACTGAGCTGACCAGAACCAACTCTTGAGGCAGTCAATTCCACATCTTCACAGCTCTCACTGTGAAGAAACCTTTCCATGTTTGGAGATTAAATTTCTTTTCCTCCAGACGTAAAGAGTGCCCCCTTGTCCTCTGTAATGTGCTCAGGGTAAATAGCTCTACACCGAGTTCACTATATGAACCACTGATGTATTTATACATGTTGATCATATCCCCCCTTAATCTCCTCTTCTCAAGAGAAAATAAATTCAGTTCCTCTAATCTTTTCCTCATAACTGAGCTCCTCAATGCCTCTTATCAGTTTGGTTGCCCTTCTCTGTACTTTCTCCAGTTCCCCAATAATTGTTGGATTGCTGAATCCTGTCCCGAGCCTGTCAAAATCTAGACTCTTACAGTGAGTCATCTTGGACCAGAATTTGATTATTTTTTTCAGAAAAATGAAGATTTGTATTTGTTACCTGCTCAGCTCCAGCAAAGGCATGATAGAAGCAGGACACATAAGTCATAATTGCCTTTTCATCTGGCTTGGGTGTGTTTACAATATCTGCAGAGAGGGACAACAATCTGTAATGGAAATTCACCAATACTTTTACTAGTTTTATTTCATGACTCTGTTCATTATCTGTTTCACACCTTCTGCGTCCAACATCTTTGGGATATCCAGAAACTTTTCTGCTACATCAAAGGCAGTGTTGAGGTTACCGATGGGGTCATCCTGTAGAAATTGATTAAAAAAAACATTTTAGACAGATATACACTTCTCTTACTGATCCCCTTTAAGCTGATAACTCCCCCTTTTGTTATGAAGTGATAAGGGTGGGTGGAATGGGAGATAAGGATTGGAAGGTTGTTCTGTAGTACTATCCAAGGGTGACAAGAATGCTTCTTGATAGATACAGTACAATGAGCAAGCATTGTCACTGTAGAAAAGGAAATGTTTTACTGACAGAATCACCAGGTGAAAAAAGGAAATAAAAGCCTGAAAAAAGAAAACTAATTTAGCCACCACATCTAAGAATTGGTAAGCTGCAATATATTAATTTTTTTTCTTGGATTTAGATATACTTTAATTTGTATGATTTTTTTATTCACTTACAATGCGATGCAAATGCACCAGACTGAAACATTTACCAACGCTTGCTACACATACATAAAGATCATTTGTGTGCAATTAAATAATTTGAAAAGATTTCCATATAAGTCCCGGTTCACATATATGTGACTTGGATTTGTTTTGAACCACATCCGATTCGCATGACATGTGAATCACTAGGCTCTTCTATGGAGCCAGTTCACAAATGTGCGATTTCAAAAAGGTGCAGGTGCAATTTCCAATATCATACACTTTACCACTGAGTGAAGTCGCACCGTACGGGCCTTGAAACTGCTGCAAACTGACTTCACACATATGTGAACCCAGGCTCAATGTTTTTTACTAACTCACATTCACTCACATATTTATACATTTGTATGAACGTCTAAAATTATTTCACATTGTATTTAATTTAGGGCCATCAAACATATCATAGGTTTTTAACCAGTAGAACGCATACCACAAGCAGTACGTCTGAAAATTTCAAATAGTGCATTTATCTACTGAAGTGAAGTTTTAAATAAATAATAAATTATACTTTACAGAACTCAGAGAGGAGCTTTTAAGTAATTTTAAAACACACATGACTACTTGGAAACCTTATACAGAGAAATGGAGAGTATTGTTTATAAGTGTACATATGTCAAAGGGTACCTATAGTGGCATTAAATCCAAAAGCAAAAATGTAATGTATTATAACTTGCCAGTCTTAAAATGTAGTGGCTGCAGTAGTTTTATTTTTCAGAAATGTTTTTCCTTTATTTTAACCTGGTGATCCAGCCAGTATATCGCTTTCTGTTTTAGAGTGTCTCCACTCTGGATAGAGTAAAAATGGAATCACACTTTGACAGAAACATTGTCAGTCTGGGTAGAGGGTAGTGTTAAGTGCACTAGCAGATGTAGATGGGCTTGACTAAAAAATTAAAGCCAAACTCCAGCTAAGGCTAGGTTCACAATTGTGTTTTGTGGGAATGCACCTAATATTTTGCACATGCCCACAACACACAAAAACATGCAGCCCTTTTGCAGTTATTTTAGTTTATTTTAGTTTAGCCATTATTTTTAATGTCACCCCCAAGTATCTTGCTAACACTCACTTTCACATGCAGCAAAATGTATGGTAACAAAGGACAATACGGTTTGGTGGGGTGCAATTTTTCAAAATCGTCATGCACTTCTTCTTTATTGATTTTTTTCCTTGTAAGCCAGCCCATTGAAATGAATGAGCTACACTAAACATGACACACGGAAACATGCATAGGTGTCTTACACTTTCTAAACAGTTACAGCAACAGTTTTTTTTTTCTCCTTTTGAGTTAACGCTTTTACGTGAATTAAAATAAATAAATAAAAGCTGTTCATTGTAAGGACTCCTGCCAGTGGGAAATGGTTTGTCTTAACCCTCTAACTTGAGAAATAACAGACTTACTATCAGGATCAACAGGTAAAAATATAGGAAAAAAGCCTAAAATAGAAAACGAATGCACCACTACATCTAAGTATTGGTAAACTGATATATATATATATATATATATATATATATATTACAATGTATCTATAATAAGAAGAAGAAAGCAAGCCATGGAATTCTCTGTAATAATGAGGGAAGAATGGCGTAAACAAATACTGAAAACATATACTGACAATGTAAATGATAATGAAAGTGAAAGGTATACCTTTCTGAGCTTGGAGTAATCAATGAGGTCAGGCCTGTGTCTATGAATAAGAGCGCAAAGTGCAAGGCCATCCTTCCAGCTTTACATGACAAAAGAAGAAAAAGCAATCATTATTGGAAGAATTATTTTATAGCAAAGCGGCATTTCTGACTGCAGTATTTGCATATTTTTGCAAACTGTCAAAATTGTCTAAATACCTTATTTTATTTTTTTGATTGAAGGGATGATTTACCAATATTTGACCTCCATGTCTATGCTGATGATAGTGTAGAACCATTTTACTCCTGAGAGGCTTAGTGGGATTTGCTGGGGGTTTTGATGGACTTCAAAACCTTAGGGTGGAATCCTCAACTCTTTTTGAGGTTGAATAAATTGGTCACTTTAGTTTATTTAAAGAGTTTTAGAGAATTTTAAAGAAATTTTATATCTACATGTGTGCATTACCAACATCCCTGCAATGTACGTGCATAGGTGTGAATGGGCCCTAAAGTACTCCTATAATGTTGCAGAAAATTATATACTTTAAAACTACTAAGCAGCATAGCATTTTTTTATTGTTTTATATTTTCATATTCCAAATGAAGAGACTTCTGTAATTGAAGGTAAACTAATACAACTAGGGATAAAAAAGTCTTTTAAATTGACAAACATTTATGTACTACTAACTAGTTTAATAGATTCTAGATCCAGGGGCATTTTTTCATCTACTCTTAGATACTGTAAAGGGTATGCATGTTAGTTCCCTACACTGTATGGTAAAAATAGATATGGCCCTGATTGATGCCAGCAGATGCACGCTGTAATTCTCCCTGCTAAGCAGATTCCATAAACGTTTACTGGACTGAAGCATTGCCCATTGCAGCGATACAAATCACATAACTTTAGGGAGTGGAATGAAAAGCCTTCTTTGATATTGAACATCATAAAAGAATAATACAATACTGTGCCAATCAATAGTGTATCCTAAAACTGATGATAATGATTTAGGAATGTGTTTTATTACATGTACCGTACATTTGGAATTTTTGTACTTTTGTCAGCAAAAAGTGCTGAAGCATTCAATAAATATTTCATAATGTGATTTTCTTTGTCCATGATAGATTCATATGTGTTACATAACTATGACTATGGCAGCTCGTCAGTCAGCTTTCAGTACATGCAGCTTGGGCTGTTCTCATAAGCATAAATCCAGTTTATGTTTAGTTTGAAACACAGCTAACATTTTCAGATTGTGTATATACTGATTAGAATTAATATATATACAAGTAAAGTAAAGCTCTTGCTTGTAGCAACTAATAAAGCTTGATTTGCTATATGAAATAAGGAATGTGGTTGCTATTGGCAGCAGTTCTATTCTTGCTCTGACTCTCATAAGTATGCTGCATTATGTTAAGAGTGTCTGTTCAGATTCTTTGTAATGTGTTGTTTGTAGTATACAGAAAGATATCCAGACCACTGGGGGAAAATAAGGTAAAATTAAACCTTAACATGTAATCTGTATAAATGTTTAATTTTGGCTACGGAAAAAGACTGTTTGTTCTTACATGGTTTCCATTGAAAGCTATTCTGCTCTAGTGTGGTCTGGAAACTGAGGAAAATACAGATTTTAAGTGAATGCATAGTGGTTTTATGCATATGTTTTTATCTTGGTTTAAAATGGAAGGTGCTATAAAAATAAAATATTTAAAAAGGTTTTTCTTTTTTTTACAGTTGTTAATATGAAATAATGGAAATGATTAATATGCAGTCTTCTATCTAGCCAGCAGATGGCAGTATAGTCTAATTATGACATATTCTACTGTATCAACTTTCAACTGTGTTGGAATTGCTGATTTTTTAAAGAACTCGTTTGAGTCATCAATGTAGTGACTTTATCATTTACCAGAGAGCAAGCTGCTCTGCTGTGCTATTGTTTTTAGCTAACTTTTAATATAACATTTCCCATGGTCATGTATTTAACTGTCATTGGAAACCATGACTGAACATAGATAGTTTAAACAGATTTAAAAAGAGTTTAAAAACTTATAAACTTGAAAAGCAAAATAAAATTTACCATGTCAGTTTAAACAAAAACAATAGTAGTGTTCCTGAAATTTGTTTTAACATTTGGTAACTGTATATTTGGTGCCCCCAAATGCTCTAGAAAAAAAAACTTCAGTTTCAATAAAAAGTACTTTAATGTTCCTGCAACTCATATTACCTGATATGGAAATTCTGCACATTAACATTTCTGTAGGGGGCAGTCTTCCTCTGACACCACAGCAGCAACCCTTCTTTGGCAGATGTCTCTGATGGGAAAACATGGTTTAAATATGAAATATTTCATTACAAATGAATAGAACACTTTACCCATCTCATTTTGGGAAAGACATGATGCCACCTTTAATGTGTATAAAGGTACAGAAGCCTAAATAGGAACTTAATTGAAAATTATGGTGTGTTATTGCCCAGCTGAGCTGAAAATATAAATTCAGCTTAGTGTAGATTTGAATAGAAATTGATGTCTCTAATACACAGGGTTTTTTTTTTTTTTAATTTCTTTTTTTTCAATATTTGGTATTCTTATATTATAGTGTCTTATATTTACTAAGCTAAACTAAGAGAACTACACTTTATTCCTTAAAAGAAAAGTATTTGGCCATACTTCTCCTTCAGGCCTCACGGGTATATTTAATGTTCTTCTATGACCCAGAATCAGATGATAGTGGCTGCAAGATGATATTCAAATAAATACTCTGCCTATACTGTATTGTTTTATTAATAATATATGAGACACCAGGGTACAATCTTGTGCTTCTCTGCTGCTTAGGAACAAACTTGGACACCTGTGTTCCATATATCCTCCTTCATTTAGCAGCTGAAATGTTGTTAAGCTAAAAAGCTTATTCTCAGCAAGGGCATTGATTGATTATTGACATTAGAAAATCATATCAAAGCATGAGAAAACAAGTATTACAGCTCATAAATCCTTAGGAAACAGGGAAGGTCACCCTGAGGCAGCCTATAGATGGCACAGTTTGTTTTTTTTCATTTAGCCAGCGGGTTGAATGAAAAAACTGACCTGTGTGCATGTGGATGGGGGAATCCTCCCCACTGAGATATTGTTTTCTGACAGCAGGGAGGCTTCCCCTTCTGTCAGAATACTCTGATTAACATTGCAGGTTATAACTTGCAGCCCTGATCGAGCAGGGAAAATTTGACATTGTGGTTGTACAGAAGTCAATCGGTAGAACAACTGATGTACAACCTCCCTGCCCATACATGGATCGAAATTTGGCCAGTCCCTGCTGAACCAGCCGAATTTTGATCCATGTATGGTAAGCTTAATACAAAATGATGGGTGCATAGATAAGATAAATGATAGCAAAGAAACCCAAAAAGAAGGCAACTGAGAAATCGAATAATGTCATAGGTAAGTTGGAGGGTTAAAGACTAACTGCAGCCCATGTTGTTTCATAGTTTGGGTTGGGTCAGAGAAGTTAAGAAGGCACAGGCAGCAATAAAAATCCTTCCTTACTCTACTAAATTATGTTTGCAGTTCCAGGTAGGGGGCGTGCACGAGCCCTACCCACTCCACCATTCGTAGCCAGCAATCACCGGGTCCTGGCTGGTGATTTTTTCCCCGGCGCCTGGTGATTGCCGAGCATCTCCGATGGGGAGGAGAACTGTATGTAAATAATACAGTTCTCCCTGTCAGCTCATGCACACTGCTTTGGATGGCTGTACATGACACAGCCATCCAAAGCAGTGTAATTACAGTGAAGCACAGACACACAGACACAAGTAAACAGCACACAGTTAAGCCTTTGATCACCCTTCATGTTAACCCCTTCCTGCCCAGTGCTATTAGTACAGTGTCAGTGCTTTTTTTTAGCACTGATCACTGTATTGGTGTCACTGGGGATGTCAGTGACACCAAGTCAGTTCCCCCCAGTGTCAGAATGCCCGCCACAGTCCCGCTATAAGTCGCTGATCACCTCCATTACTAGTAAAAAATTTTTAAAAAATTCCAGTATCTATACTTGCATTTGTAAATGATAAAACTTTCATATTAACCATTTAATTTACACGTATTAAGATTTTTTTTTTAACAAAGACATGTAGCAGAATACATTTTGGTCTAAACTTATGATGAAATTTGATTTTTATATTTTTTTTACTGGACTTGTTTAATAGCAAAAAGTCAAAAATATAGTTTTTTTTCTCAAAATTGTCGGACTTTTTTTTTTTATAATGCAAAAAATATGAAAAGCACAGGTGATCAAATACCACCAAAAGAAAGCTCAATATGTGGGAAAAAAGGCTGTAAATTTCATTTGGGTGCAGCATTGCATGACCGTGCAATTGTCAGTTAAAATAACGCAGCACCATGACACAAAAATGGCCTGGTCAGGAAGGGCAAGTGGATATACAATGATTTTTCACCCATGATAGGTTAGAGCAATTCACCAAAGACGTCCATGCTAAGGTGTTGTAGTATTGTAGTGATCCTTAATTTAGCATTAGTATTGGTTTGAAATATATAAAGATAAACCTAACATATACCTTCAACAGAAATGTCTTGAATTGCAAAACGCAGAATAATTGTCCAGATCATACCCAAAGTCATCTTCAAATTTCCATCAACAATTTCTATGGGAAAAGAAATAAATAACAAATATTGTTTTTTAATGGATTTTAAATACAGAGTAATTTTTCATATTGTACTATTTATATTATGGATTTTTTTTTAAGGTGAGCTGTTGCCTGGAAAAAAACAGACAGCATACAATTATCTTACAGATAGCATCTCAGTTGGGAACTGAATCCGGGACTCCAGTTATACAAGGTCAAAGTGTTGTCCATATGTGATATTTTATTTTTGAACAATTAAATAAAAAAAAAAAAAAAAAAAAAAAAAGAGAAAAGGGTAATTGAACATGTATATATATTTTGGCCATAACACCGTCTACCAGTAGAAACAGCAGGTCCTGATCTCCATTTGGTGGGAGATGAATAAAGAATCGGACACAAAATTTCAACCCACTTTTTATATGTAAAGCCACCCTACAGAGATCTTCTGTTATGACCATCAGGGTGCTATGGCTACATAACTGCACAGTCATTCTTCTGGTACAGCATTCTTGAACTAACAATATGAAACTGCAGAATATTTTTTCCTTATAAAAGCAGCAACATATATCTACATCTTAATAAAAAAATCAGTTTAATGTCATCTGGCAGGACTGTCAAAGTCAAATAATGGTCTTGTCTGACTGCATCTCATCCTTATCTGACTAGCACCCCTGGGATTCTGATCCAGTCACTTGGTTTTCAATAGTCAAGTATGTATTCGAAATAGTTGGAGAGATACACTAAATACATTTTATTTAAGTTGAAACTAGTAATATGTGAAATCCAAAGATCAGCACATCAGCTTGTTTCACAAAATGTTTCATGATTTCATTAGAGATGAAAAACCACATACATAGGTATAGCCTGCCTTTGTCCATGGCTTAACCCTCCTAAATGGATTAAAGAGACATTTATGGAAGCAATCCAATGTACTGACCTTTTGGCTTAATCTGCTTCTTGTACCAGGAGTACACAGATAGTACACTGAGGAGTCTATTTATAAAGGATTCACTATGTGATTCGCACATTCAAATGTTTGCTGGACATTTGTCTATCTGCATTTTACAGCATTAGGCTGTAGGCTCAGTTTCAAAGAGGATTCACCCTATTTGTAATATGGCGGCTGATTGTGAAGTCTTGTTTGATTAAAAATGTGACTAGAAAAATCAAACACGTTTGTCATTGGAATCTCTCATATTATTATATTATATTATTCATACCTGGCCATGCGGGATCTCCTGCATGGTAGGGGTTGGGGAAAGACCTGGCAACCTACCCTGTAAAATAATTGCTAAGAGAATTCATGGAAAAAGTCGCTTACGAGTGACGGTCCATGCAATCGCCAAGGGTCAGATACGACTGGATAGATAGATAGATAGATAGATAGATAGATAGATAGATAGATATTATATTATATTATATGATATGCTGGTAGGTGAATCTTGATTGATTTTAAATAACATGAAGAAATTGTGTGTGTATTTAGAATCTGTCTATTATGTTGTATGCTGATGGGCGAACTCTCTTTGAAAATAATATGAAAATAGGATGAATTGTCTTTAAAAACGATAGTCGAATGCTGTAAAATACACAGGGGTTGATTTACAGCTGTAGGGGCAGCGTGAACGGGCCCTTAAAACATTTAGAAAATATTTTTTGTGTGGCAAGTACCTTTTTTCAGCAGATACTCACGCTTCCTAATTTCTCACCTAGGAAAGGATGATATTGCTCTTGGTCACATCTTGAGCTATTACTGTAGTATTTTTATCTTACATTTACACCTACGGATTTAGCCACTAGCAGAAACCAAATCAAAATGTAGAAATCCTCTGTTTCTGCAAAGCAGGATGTTAAAGCATAGTACACACTATATTTTTTTTTTTTTCGCTCAACCCAGTGAGCTGAATGAAAATAAATGAAGACATCGGAAGGAGATCCTGTACTAGCAACTTAATGTTAGTACAGTGATCTCCCCACTGAGCTACTGTGTTCTGACAGGTCCCCCCCCCCCCCCGTCAGCTTTCTCAGCCTTTGTCGGTCATGTCCTTTCACAGAAGCCAGGCATTCGGCCGGATTCTATTGAACCAGCCAATACCGCCCGATATTTGGCCCATGTGTACAGGGCTTTAGTATGTGTATGAAGTGCGCTACATATATAACTGATAGAAAAGAATAAAAATACACCGCACAAATATGTTTCACATGCATATTTAAAATAAAAAATTAAAAGAACAATACCTTCCTTTCAAATTCTAATCCTTAACCAGTCCAGGGCTACTACCTACCCTCAGCACCAATTGACACTAGTTTCACTCCTTTGCTGGCGATGAAGTCCAAGGCTTTATTGACATTTGCAATCTTGTGGAAGCGCATTTTTCCTTTGTCGGGTTTAGGCAGCCTCTCACCTGCAAAAGCAGAATGTATACATGAAGTAATATCAAACAAATTGGAATGATAGTTTTCATCGTTTTTGAAATCTCCCTTCAGTGTTTTACACACTTTACACTTTGGTGCTTCAAAGTGTAATGATTTGACAGACATATACTGTATTTATTTTTCAATAAGAACTGTATGTAGGCAGGTGCAGTCTGACTTCCCTGCACAGGTGATGCTGTTGCGGCCACCCTGCAGAGGGAGAGGATGAAGGAGGAATACGAATTCCTCTTAAACCTCTGTACGTGTCATCGGGTGGGCTGCTGTCTGATTAGACGCTGCCACCCGGGTGATGCCTGCGGCCATCTTCAATGAGGCTAGTGCTTATAAAAAGCACCGTCTCCCTGCTTTCGGTGCACATTTTATGCTTGGCTAGGTTAGGGACAGGAACCCACTTGACAGGGAGTGTGTGCCTTGCATAGGGAGCGGTTCTAGAGGAGGAGGGACAGCATAAGGACATTAGCTTCTAAGGGGAACCTTTCCGCTACTAGTCACTTCTTCATCCGCCTTCGAGCCACCCCCTGCACCAGATGCTGTCAGTCTCCGTGGATTGCTCTCTGCAAGTACCGAATAACTTCTGTGAGCCGCTGCATAGACTCTGTTATTGTATGTTGGAACATTTTGACAATACAATTCCTGCAATTTCAACCACTTGGTGTGCCGTGCCTTCCCACTGGAGTGCCTACGGCCTGGGCCCGCTCTACAACCTACATGTATATATATCATTTTCCTTCTGATACATCTGCCACTATTATCACAGTGTTTACAGAAAAATATGGTTTTATATGCTAATATGCCTTTTAACATACATGTTTATGGATTGCTGTACTGAAGATCATCTACTGTGTCTGGAATTGGAAGACACACGTGAAGTCCAGCATGAAGAAATATTTCCCTCTGGTGAAGTTGCCATTACTCACTAACACTTTTGGCACCAGCTTGGGGCATCCAGGTTGCATGAAGCACTGAGCAAAGTGCCTATGTATACTTTCACCCGTATCTACCATGGAGAACAGATGTATCTGAGTTGGTTAACTTCAGCACATGAGAGGTCAGCCATCCATGAATCCCAGTAATAAATGATGCATACAAGCTCTCATTTTTTTCATTTTTTTTTGTCAAAGCTTAATTGAACAAGTTGAAGTTAGAAGCTGATTTACTACCATGCACACCTGCACCACATATTGCACTCTACAGTTTTAGTAATAAAATTGTGTCAGCCTAATAGATGTGAAATTATTCATAAATTTAATTTTAGTCTTGTCATTTTAGTACTCTTTATTAAACAATCTAATCAACTAGACCTTTGACTAGCATAAATGGCACGCCTAGAGGCTGGTCAAAAATGCCTCTGTAGTCCCCAAGCATCCATGATCCAACCAAAATTGGAAGCATGCAGCCTGTAGTATTTCCTATATTGATAGTAAATGTTAACACATTCTTTCTTAAGCTAGCCATAGACAGTTCACATGGCAGTAGAATGTTAGCAAGCAGTGCTGAAAGATATTTCCTGCCCTTGACACATATTTTATGTGTACTCTAAACCAAGATATCAACACATTTTACGGCAAGGGGAACTATCCACTGAAATATTTAGACCTGGCATTAAGACTTCAGCACAAGTGAGCAGCACTTTGTGCTGTGGTCACCGCTTAGTTGACTTGACTATATTAATATAGGTACTACTAAAAAAAATTCTTTACAGTGAGAATGCATTAAAAAATAATGCAGCTAATAGTTTTAGCTCTCAACCTACAAAGTGTACAAACAGAGAAAAAAAACAAAATCAGATCAAAATTTGGTGTGTCCTTTCTCTTTAAGAGCTTATTTCACACTATTGTACTAGGGTAACGCATGCCACAACCTCAACACATCACAATACTTTTTACACATGATGGTGTGATGCAGTGCCATTCATTCTGAATGGCACACCTATGTACCTTGTCAACAGATCAACAGATGTGTGTTGCAACACAGCTTGCAGCAGCACACTTACATAGTTGAGCTACACTCACCGACCACTTTATTAGGTACACCTTGCTAGTACCAAGAAAATATCCCCCACACCATTACACCACCACCACAAGCCTGAACCATTCATACAAGGCATGATGGATCCATGCTTTTATGTTGTTTACACCAAATCCTGACCCTACCACCTGAATGTCACAGCAACCAGTTTGCCCATTCTCCTCTGACCTCTAAAATGAACAAGATATTTTCGTCCACACAACTGCCGTCACTGGATATTTTCTCTTTTTCGGACCATTCTCTCTGTAAACCCAAGAGATGGTTGTATCTTAAAATCTAAGTAGATCACTTTTTAAGTGGGTTCAAGTGTACCTGAGAAAAGTGGTGTTGTGTAAGGGTCCATTTACATTATTGCCCTGTGCTAGCAATGTGTGTTATTTGAATGGGCTGGTTATGCACCAAAAAAGGTGCATGTAGCATGTTTGGCAGCGAACCACAGTGCATGTTACATAGTTAGTCCAGTTGAAAAAAAGACACATGTGCATCTACAACCACTGGCCACATTATTAGGTACAGCTGTTCAATTGTTTGGTAAACAAATTGCTAATCAGCCAATCACATAACAGCAACTCATTGCATTTAGGCATATAGACGTGGTGAAAACGACTTGCTGAAGTTCAAACCAAGCATCAGAATGGGAAAGAAAGAGGATTTAAGTGACTTTGAACGTGGCATGGTTGTAGCTGCCAGACGGGCTGGTCCGAGTATTTCACAATCTGTTGGTCTACTGGTATTTTCACATACAACCATCTCTAGAATTTACAGAGAATGGTCCAAAAAAGGAAAATATCCAGTGGGCGGCAGTTGTGTGGATGAAAATATCTTGTTGATGTCAGAGATCTGAGGAGAATGGGCAGACTGGTTCGAGATGATAGAAAAAAACAACAGTAACTCAAATAACTACTCGTTACAACCAAGGTATGCAGAATACCATGTTTGAATGCACAACACATCGAAGCTTGAAGCAGATGGGCTACAGCAGCAGAATACCACACTGAGTGCCACTCCTGTCAGCTAAAAACAGGAAATGGTGGATACAATTTGCACAGGTTCACCAAAATTGGACTACAGAAGATTGGAAAAACATTGCCTGGTTTGATGAGTCTGAATTTCCCTAGAGAATGTTATCTGTGAAAATCCCAGTAGATTAGCAGTTTTTGAAACAACCATGCCATACTCAAAATCACTTAAATTCCCTTTCTTCCCCATTCTGATGCTTGGTTTGAACTTCAGCAAGTCGTCTTCGGCAAGTCTAGTGGCTGCCATATGATTGGCTTATTAGCAATTTGTGTTACCAATCAATTGAACAGGTGTACCTAATAAAGTGGCCGGTGAGTTTATATGTGTATAATATATCACTATATAAGCTCACAAGACCTTATCCCCCTTGACTTCTTTTTTGGGGGAATGCTAAAGGAGAAGGTGTACTCAACGAAAATCACAGATATGAATCACCTGAGGGAAGGCATCATGAATGAATATGCTCAAATTGACAGAAATGTGAAGTTACTGCATCAAGTTCATGTGAATCTTGCAAAGCGCATGGAACTTTGCATCACAAATGGTGGAGATCACATTGAAGATTTTATTGATTAATATTACAATTAAATAAAATGTTATTGAAAAATGTATTGAAATTTATTGAAAATATGCATTTTGCCTATGTGTCCAGAGTTTAGGGACACCCTGTATATTTTATAATATGCAATGTTTTGCCTGATTAAATGCAGTATTTACTAAGAGATGTTACACACGTAACGTATTTAGTGTTTAACTTGGCATATTAAGTCATGACTGAATAGTTAAGATATTATGAAAATCATGAATTAAAGTGTTTCTAAAGGCTGATGGTTATTTTACCTTCATGCATTCTATTACACTGCTTTTTACACAGTGGCCCTCTCTTCCCCTCGGCTGTTTGAAATTGTGCCCCCACATCCCCCCTGGGGTTCTGGTCCGCCTGCTGCCCGGTGGTATTCTATCTATCGCCTTGAAAAATGTGTATATTACATGACATTTCATTCTGTTAAGTGTCTTACCAGTTGTTTTTTTAACTGTATACAAATACAATGGTTATTATTTGTAAGCCTTTCTGTTCTATAGATGCATTTCAAGGCCCTGAGGAAGCGACTCCAGTCAAGAAACATGTTGGGCAGATTGTGAACGGTGGCGCCCCCTACAGTTGGAACAAGTGGACCATTTACATCCATACTAAGTGTCCAATGCCAGAGACTATAACCCAATTGGGGGGGGGGGGGACACTATGTTTTCAGTAAAATGCATCACATTTTTTAAATGAGTTATATCAATTTTAATAAGTTGTGTTAATAAATACATGTTTGTACCTATATCAGTATTGTATTCATGTGCCTAAAGTCCATATTGGTTATATTCCAAACTTTTCCTCTCTGATTTGGAACGTGGCACTTTTTACAGTTTGGTGTGACCACGGTGCAACCCGGTGGTTGCCAGTTCTCAAATACATTGTATTTACCTTAGCCCAATGTCGATACAGCAATGTGCATGAGAACAGCAACTCTCCCAGCTCTCTCCCTCCTCATTGGCTAAGACACAGCAGTGGGAGCCATTGGCTCCAATTGCTGACAATCACAGTCAGTGAGGAGGGAGTGGTGAGGGTGGGGCTGAGCCACGCTCTGTGTGTCTATGGACTCCCTCCATAATCTATGGACCACGCACCTCCCTCTTTACTTACTTGAGTCCTATCTTGATCTCTCTCTTTCCTCACAGGCTCAGAGACAGCAGCAGGAGGCACTGGCTCCTGCTGCTGACAATCAAATCCTGTGAGGAGGATTGCAGGTTGGGGTCAAGCTGCGCAGTATGTGTCAATGGATGCTTGGGAGCAAGCCTGCAGGTGTGCCACTATAGAGATTAGAAAAAACTAAAAGCACCAGTGAGGGACCCCAGAAGAAGAGGTTCCGGGCTGCTCTGTGCAATACCATTGCATACAGCAGATAAGTATACAATGTTTATTATTTAACAGAAACATACAAACAATCGATTTATGTGTATAAAAGGAATAGAACAAAACAGAATGAAAAAGGTCCCATTGGCTCATTGGTACAGAATCTGCCCATAAAAACTCTCAAGGATCCATGGAAGGTGGGGGGATAGGAGACAACTCAAAAGGTACTTAAGGGAATGCAACTGGAATGCAGATAAATTCCTCAGAGACTTGTGTCAATTTCTGATGGAAAATGTGCAAATCAGGGGTAACAGGTAGCCACATATTTATTTGATCTGCAGAAAGAGTGTAATCCTTCCATGCTTTGCAGCAGAAAAGGTATAAACCATAAGTTTAAAGGAGGGTATGCTTTGCTCTGCAAGGAATCCTGTGTCTCATCAACATAGTAAGGACCAAAAATATGTCTGCCCGGTATTGCTGAGCCACTGGGCATATCCACCAAATGAGATAAAAAGGTCCCAACTGTCCACAACCCCATAAGCACAGAGGGGAATAACCTGATTAAAAAATGAGCCATTTTGGCAGGCACCAGGTACCAATGTGCCATAACCTGGTTATTGGCTTCCACAGCCAAAACATAAAGCAGCTGGATTTTACATTAGCCCAAATCTGAGGCCAAACTTCATTATCAAAGTCTTCTCCTAAGTCTGTTGCTCACAGTTGAGTATATACTGGGAGCTGAGATACAGAGGGGGTTGGCTCAATGATCTTTAAGTTGAATTTTGTCCAACTGGTTGGTGTTGACATTGCCACCAGGGGCGGACTGACACAACTCATGGGGCCCCCCCGGGCAATAGGGGATCATGGGGCCCCTGTGTCCTTGCCCAAACTCAAAAAAGCCTATGAAAAAGGTACCAGGGGCATCTCATGGGGCCCCCTACTGACCCCGGGCCTCGGGCAGTGCCCGAGTTTAAAAATGATGTTAACGTTTACACAGGAGAAGCTCAGTAGATACTGTTTAGATTTACTGTATCTTTTATTTTGATACATTAAGGCTAGGTTCACACCTATGCAGTTTGCGTTTGATCCGTTTCTGCAGTGCATTTTGGCACTTGCGGTTTTTATGCATTTTGCAATTTTTTTCTTGTTGGTAGGCAGATTTAAAACACAAAACGCATCAAAAACTCATCAAAAACGTAGCAAAAACGCACTACATGCTTTTCTGAAGCGTTTCCATTGTAGATTATAGAACCAAAAATTTAACTTTTTGCATTCAAAAAAGTCCCTGACCCTTTCCAAAAAACGCACCAGGTGAAAAAGCAGAGATGTGAACGTGTCCCATAGGAAATCACGGTAAATGGACTGTAGTGCGTGTCTGCAAAACGCAAAATGCTGAGGAAAATGCTTAGGTGTGAACCTAGGGTAAAGCAGAACCTTACCCATAACAATTTGATAACAAAGAATGTTCTTTAGCAAGGAATAATTATGCTACCAAAATTAGTGTGTGTTGTAAATTGCCTCCAGCATTGCTCTTGTCTTGCTGGAGTCTGCCATTTTGCTGAAGCCCAGAGCCCCTGAGCAGCAGGAAGTAAACCCATCGGAAGTAAACCCATCGATTGAATGTTTTAAAAAAACAGTCACATCCCTGGAATGGCAATATCCCTAACTCTCAGCCAAGCTGTTCCATCAAATGTCTGGTGTCATAACTGATCACATGTGCAGATTCATGGCAGTTGCAGATCAAACAAAAGCAGCTTCCTTGGCTGTAAAGGATAGGAGGGTTTAATTCTGCTTTAAGGCTGTCAGCAGATCGGCCTCTACAGATTTGGAAGTGCCTAAAAATCTCTAAAAATGGAGTGTTCTTGCATGGCAAGACCATTTACTGTTATCTCACATATATATTCTTATTATTATAGCCAAATTTACCACCCTAACTCCTCCCACAGTTTTTACACTATATAGACAGTAATATACCAAAACGTGCGGATTGTTCCCGATTGGTGTGCTATTACTTTGTGGAACGTTTCGCCGAATGGTTCACGAAATATCAGCGTTTTTGTGGTGAAATTGGTCCCATAGGAATGAATGGCGGAATGTTCAAAACTAGAGTGGGAGCTGACAAAAGCTAGAGTGTGAGCTTCGGTGTAGGATTTATAATTTTTAAACTACAACCGTTTGAAGATGGCAACCGCCAGTGAAGTGAGCAAGTTGGAGCAGTTTTTTTTTTAACCGCTCTTCTCTGCCCTTGCTGTAGAGTGAGTTGCCATAGGAACCCAGGTGTGTGAGCAGGCAGCAGAGTGACAAAAGCTAGAGTGTGAGCTGAAAAATCAGGACACATGATTTCTAAACTGCCATCACTCCCTCATTTTCAAGCCCACCTACACAAATCTTATATCAAAACGTTCCGCTATCCCTGCTGCCACTAAAAATGTCCACGGCTAAGCTATAGTCCTGATAGTTTTCACAATATGACCATTTGTTTCCAACTCATGCCGCCCATTGACATTCATTGAAATTCCACTCTAGCCACCTCAAATTTGAAGGGCAATTTCTAAACTGCGACTGTGCCTTCATTTTTAATATTTCAGAGACATACTATGCATCAAAATGTAGGTCTGGGTCTTGTGATTCTCAAAATATTAAGCTCTTCAGTGTAGGATTTATAATTTTTTGTAGACTACTGATGGAGGCAAGAACACTTCACACAATTTCCCCAGAAATTGTAGCTTTTCTAGTTTTTAATGTTTCACATAACTATAGCTACATAATGGGCCAGCCTGAAGTGATCTAGCAGGACTTAATTTTATGACTAAAGTTTCACTTTAACTTTAAAGCTTGTAATACATTATATTTACCATTATATTTAAAGTACTGAACATATGATCTAATATGTGTTGTCCACATTGATAGCTTACTTATACTTCATAATACAGTGCTTTACCACAATGGAATTTTTTTTTAAAAGTTTTATAAATTGTTGATATTTTTTTAGCTTTGGACAGATTTGGGATGAGTACATTTCTGTCAAATTATTATTGATCTTTGTTGGTAAGATTACATCTCACTTCCTGCCTTTGTGATTTCCAGTGACAGCAGACAAGAAATGAGGAATCAGTCATCATCAGGACAGGAAAGCACAAACAATACTAACAACCTGACAGAGTTCTAACCCTTCCCTGTTTTACTGAAAATAGTAGCAGTCTTTGTCACCCCTGGAGAATTTTTCTTTTACTTCCTGTCCTGACTAAATGTAAGGGAAAATGTCCCCAATGGGGACAGAGACCTTAATATTCTTCCCCACTCTGTTCAAAACTTAAAGGTTTTGCTGTAATTGGGCTTTAATATGCTATTACGCTAATGCCTTCAAACCAATTATTTTTGTATGTTTTGTCATGTTGTCTGTTTGCATTTTACATAGTAGTACTGGGGTTAGCCTGGAGAAGCTAGCCAGTCATGGGCCACAATGAAATGAAATGGTTCAGAATTTTGAATTTGAATAGTATAATGAACATTTTCTTCCCGCAGATGCTGAATGCCAGTGGGAGAGAAAACAAATCCGGCTTTCAGCGGTTGCAGGAGGAAAATTGAGAAGATCGGTTCCTGCATATGCAGTCCCCCACTCCTCCTGTCCAAGTGTAAAAGAGAATGTGACAGGGAGGCTGCATGGGCCCCCTGGAGCATGGGACGGGGTTGCCATTGGGAACCTTGATGCTACACCAGTGATTGAAGGGGTGGTAAAAACACATCTCAACTACAGAGTTTACCACCTCCCAAACCGCAAAAGTAAGTGAGCCCTTACTGTCCTGAGCCCGTTATAAGGCTGCTCTCACACTGATACACTGCAGTTTACCCACATCATGGGTGCAGCGCAGTGCACCTGCAACTTTCCTGTGAGTTACCTTTGCCACAGACTTCTATTATATCTTGCGGGTGTGGTGCACTTTCAGAAAGCACACCAAAACTCCTGCATTCAGCTTGAGGTGGAGGACCACATCATAGGGTTCCGAAGGCTACATGTGGCCCCCGGGCCATGAGTTCAGCCCCATTGCTCTAAGAAAAAGGTGGTAACTTTGTTTCAGCTAAGAGTAAGAAGTTACATATACAAGTGTGTGGCTTTCAGCCTGGATCCAGCACTATGCTAGCACTCAAATGTACAGCAACAGCCATGACTGCCATTACCTTTGTCCTTAATGTACTGCTAAAGCTGAACGAATGATCCTTTAGAGCACTTACCAGAGATGACCTCAAGCAACAGCATCAATTTAAGGCCATTTCTGAAATCTTCCTCTATATTTTCAATTTGTGTGCCAGCTTTCCTCAGGTGAGAGTTGCACCAGGCTGTGAAGGTCTAAAAGAAAACAAATGAAAGAAATCAGGCAGAGTTACAATGATCCACGTGGAAAGGTTTGCAAAGCAATAAATCAGCCAGAATAAGCAAGATATAAAGACTTGATGGTTACTATTGAGAACGGAATAGTGTTTTTGTTTGGTAGGAAAAATGAATAGCAGTCAATGAAAGGTCTGTGTTGCTGAAAATTCAAAGGAATTCTGTCTGGGTTGCTAACCAATAGATTTTTGCAGCTTTTGGAGCTATTCCTCATGCTATCCAGTGTAGCAGCTGATAATTATGGAACACTAGTGTTATGTAGCTGCATAGATAAGCAGCTACAGCAGCAACTCTATATCCAGCAATACATTATCAGGGCAATAAAGCAGAGATATGTGCAGCTGCTACAAAATCGCTGCTGCACAAAAAATGTCAACTGTCCCAACCTATAACCAGCCTTAGCAGTAAGGTGCACATGGAAGGGCAACAAAATCGCTGCTACAGGGTTGCCCAGTGTGACAATTCCCTAGGCAACATTCAGATTGTAAAATAGCAGCAGAATGTTTGCTGTGTTCAGAGGTGGCTAAACTTTGCCTTTGGACACTGCAACACTCTATTATATGGCCGCATAAAATTAGCCAATTAGCAGCCAGTTTGCATGCAGCCAAAACTGCAAAGAAATGCCGATCCTGGATGCAGATTAGTAACCTGCATATACACTATATGTACATAAGTACAACAATCTTGCTTTTAATATAAGAAGATTAGCATACAAATATAAATACTGACAATGCTGAACTGTTTTCTTAGGTACAAGTTTCTCAGAATTTTTATCATGTATTTTTGGCATCAAAAATAGTGTACACAAGCGATTTGATCACACATATATATTTTACACTGATACATATAGCATATGTAATATTTCAACACACACACACTAGTAGTTACTCACCTTTTTAACTCAATGTACCCCATATAATAATCCATAACCTCATTTCCAAAACTAAACTTTACCGCAACCCAACCCCCAAACCTTAATCCCTTATCCCTTTTGTAACCCAAAGTAATTTTAGAGTTAGATGCCCATACCAAATTCTGCACACTGATGCTTCAGGTAAACAATATGTAAACCCAACATTTCATATTCCTGCTGTACCATGTACTTTTATGAAAAAAAGTGTCCTGTTTTCCTTATATTGTTTCCTTTGTGTGAACTCTCTGGTGTTCCTGGCAGTCCCTCTACTTTCCTATTAAAAACTGACCGCACTAAGCAGGAGAACACAATGTGGTACATTTTCTAGCTATGCTGAGAACTCAGTGTGCTCTCCTCCAATGATCAGTCTTGTCCTGACACGCTCCCCCCCCCCCACCCACAGTCATTCACTGGGAAGATCAATGTACTGCTGTTTCTCCTCCCCTAGTTCTTATGCAGCTGAGAACAGAGGGAATGTGATCACTTATAACAAAGGGAACAAAAGGTATTTAACATGTTTTTTATATCTATGCACAAATGTTTTACCTTCCATTTTTATTTTAAACTGAATGGATTATTTTACAAGGTGAAAATTTACAATCACTTTAACTTGACTATAATGCTATGACTAATTTGTTACTTTGACAGTGATGTCTGAAAAGTAGGAAGACACACAGGTGAATATTCTTAGTTCTCTGCTACAAGCTTAATTACTGTGTTCACAACATGTGGCATTGTTCATAAGGACCTAAAAAGGCATATTGCAGTCACGTAGAATTGAACCTAACGCCAAGAGCTAACCTGAAACCTTAACATGACCTCTAAACCCAACCCGTAAAGTGGCTGTAAATCCTTATATATACAAAGTGAAGTGACTGACCTCAGGTAATACACAAAGATCACACAAACCCTCCCATGTAAGTTTTTCTCTACATCCACTCAAAGTGTTGAATGTATACAGCTTATCTGAGAGTTCAGAAAAAAGGGGTGGAGAGCTGAAGTGAGGAAAATAACTCAGTGAGTAGAGTTCTGAGATTTGATTGGAGGTCAGAGACACCCCCCCCCCTCCACATAGCTCACAGGAACAAAGCTGAAGTTGTCAATCTGCTGAAGGTCCCTTCTCTGTCACCATGTTTCTCTTGGTATTAGGAAAACTTGTCAAAAGTGATTCATGCTGATAGCAGAGGAAAGAGGCAGCAAACAGAAATGAAACTTATTGTTCTTGAGACAAATACACACTATAGAGGAATATGCTTTGTTCATATTTTATGTCTGAGGTTTACAACCACTTTAACTCTAACCTAAATTGTACCCAAAACCCATCCTCTAAACCTAATCCTCAAGCTATCCCCAAACAATTATTATAAGTTATAGGCAGAATGCTATCAACAACAATAAAAAAAAATGTAAAGTAAATCTATACTAGTGCCAATAGCACTATTGTTCCAAAATATTTTATGCCTAGCCAAATATATTCTATTATGTCTATTATGAGAAGACTATCCTTGATCTTGTCTTCTCCAACCGCTGCGCTCCCACAACCTCACTAACACCCCCTTCCCTCTCTCTGACCACAACCTGATTACCTTCTCTATCTCCTCATCCTCCAACGCCTACCCCTCCAAATGTCACACTACTACCAGCCGTAACCACCGCAACCTTAACCCTGCCTCCCTCCACTCCGCAGCTGATCAACTCCATGACCGCATCCTCCCCCTGTCCTGCCCCGACTTGGCTATGACCGCCTACAACAATGCGCTGTCAACAGCCCTTGACTCACTAGCGCCTTTAACCACACGCAACATCAGACCCCGACCGCTCCAGCCCTGGCAGACTGATCACACCAAAACCCTCAAACGACACAGTCGTGCCCTGGAGCGACTATGGCGCAAAACCAAATCCCAACAAGCCTTCACCCGATACAAATCTGCCTTCCACACCTACACCTCCTCCCTCCATACTGCCAAACAAGCCTACTTCCTGACCCTCATCAAGGCCCTCTCCTCCAATCCTCGCTGACTCTTCTCCACCTTCAACTCTCTACTCTCGCCACCCCCACCTCCACCCAGCACCCACTCACTCACTGCCCTTGAGATTGCCAATCACTTCAAAAACAAGATTGACACAATTCGCAAGGACATTGCCGCAACTCACACGCCTTCTCAACCCGTCCCCTCTCACACAGCTACCCCCTCATCCCCCCCTCCCCCTCGACATAACCCACAGGGACTTCGTCGCTGCTCAAAACTCCCTCCAATCCCCTTCCCCCCCTCACTCAGCTATCCCCTCTACACCCCTCTCCCACGGCCCCACCACTGCTCTGACCTCCTCCCCCACCCCACCCTACATTCCTCATACTGAAGCTCCCCCAACACTCCGCACCTTTGACCTTACTACCATTGAAGAAGTCTCCAAGATCCTCTCTGATGCCCGCCTCACCACCTGCCCCCTCGACCCTATCCCCTCACAACTCCTACAACCTCCCTCCCCCTCCATCCTACGCTCCCTCGCCCACATCTTCAATCTCTCCCTCTCCTCCGGCACTTTCCCTTCCCCTCTGAAACATGCACACATCACCCCCATACTTAAAAAGCCCTCCCTGGACCCAATGACCCGAACAACCTCAGACCCATCTCCCTGCTCCCATTTACATCTAAACTCCTCGAGTGCCTAGTCTACGCCCGCCTATGCTCTCACCTCAACGAAAACCTCCTCGATCCCCTACAGTCCGGCTTCCGTCCCCTACACTCCACCGAAACTGCCTTACTCAAACTCTCCAACGACCTGCTAACCGCCAAAGCTAATGGCCACTATTCAGTGCTCCTACTCCTTGACCTCTCTGTGGCCTTTGACACAGTCGACCACCCCCTCCTCCTCAAAAAACTACACTCCCTCGGCCTCAGAGATTCTGCTCTCTCCTGGCTCTCATCCTACCTGTCACAATGCTCTTTCAGCATTACCTATAATGCCACCACCTCCCTCTCACTCCCCCTCTCTGTTGGGGTCCCTCAAGGCTCTGTCCTCGGGCCCCTTCTCTTCTCCATCTACACCTCCTCCCTTGGCCAACTCATACACTCTCACGGCTTCAACTACCACCTCTATGCCGACGACACACAAATCTATCTCTCAACCCCCCCACCTCACCCCCTCGGTCTCCGCCCGAATCACACACCTGTTGAGCGACATATCAGACTGGATGTCGCTCCACTTCCTTAAACTGAACCTCTCCAAAACCGAGTTTCTTGTCTTCCCTCCAGCCCGGACACCACCCCCCATTGACTTCTCCATCATGTCCAACAACGCCACCATCAAACCCGCCCCGCAGGCCAGAGTACTTGGTGTCATTTTGGACTCCAACCTATCCTTCCAGCCCCAAGTCCACTCTTTAACAAACTCGTGTAGACTCCACCTCCGCAACATCGCCAAAATCCGCACGTTCCTAACTCCAGAAACCACTAAACAGCTCATCCACTCCCTCATCATATCACGACTCGACTACTGCAACTCCCTCCTCACTGGCCTGCCTCGCCGCTGGCTATCCCCGCTTCAGTCCATCCTGAATACGGCTGCCAGACTCATTCACCTTTCCAACCGCTCCGTTTCCGCCACCCCCCTCTGCCAATCCCTCCACTGGCTTCCGATTGCGCAACGGATCAAATTCAAAATCCTAATGCTGACGTACAAAGCCGTCCACCATACTGCCCCGAACTACATCACTGACCTAATATCCAAGTACCCCGCCCAGCACGCACACTCCGCTCCTCACAAGACCTCCTTCTCTCTAGTTCCCTGGTCTCCTCCTCCCATGCCCGCCTCCAGGACTTCTCCAGGGTGTCACCCATCCTCTGGAACTCCCTGCCCCAACCCATCAGATTATCACCTACTCTCCTCTCCTTTAGGCGCACCCTGAAAACCCATCTCTTCAGGGAAGCCTACCCCGCCCCCTGCTAACTTGCCGACCTCCTCCACTCTTCCTACCACTCCATCCCCCACAGCTATCTCCTCCTGTGCCACCATCCCCTCCCTCCTAGATTGTAAGCTCGAAAGAGC